AAATCTTATTTGAGTCTTTAAAGGTCCTTTGACCTTCGAAATCTTCTAAGATGGATGAAATAATGGGATTGAATAACATTAACTAAGAGGGGGGGTGGAATTCTTAGTGAGTATGTGAGGAAATAAAGAAGGATCATGTGATTAGTTGGGAGGCTATGACTAGGCCTAAAACTAAAGTTGGTCTATCGGTCGGGAATTTGTTGAAAAGGAATATGGCCTTAGTTGGGAAATGGCTATGGAAGTTTTCTTTAGAGGAAGATTTACCGTGGTTATTAAGAGAGCAAATATGGATTACAAGCTAATGGGTGGGACGTCAATGGGGTACTTTTCGGACTCTATAGAAATTCATTTTTTCAAGGTTACCTAACTTCTCTTAGTGGGTTAAGTTCATTGTGGGAGATGGATCGAAAGTTCGGTTTTAGGAGACTTTTTTTTGGAAAAGGGGGAGGGGGGACTCTTCCTCTATCCTATTTCTTGCCTTTATCATCTTTCTCATTATCGTGGTAAATACATTGCATCTTTAGCATTATGGTCCTCTTTTCGGTCACTTGAAATTTTGGATTTCATAGGAATCTTAATGATAAAAAATATTCAGAATTGTTATTACTTCTTTTTATTTCAATGGTGTCTCATTGTTTGCAAATTCTTTGGATAAAATAATTTGGATTAAGTCTTTAGTTGATGTTACTCAATTCCATTATTTCATTCGTCTTTGAAGATTTGGAAGGTCAAAGGACCTTTAAAGGTGTAAGTTTATGCATGAATAATTGGTCATGGTAAAGATTAATACCAATGAAATTCTTTAGAAAAGAAGACCATTGAATTGCATGTTATCGCAGTGGTGTATTATGTGTTTAGGTGATTGTGAGTGTGTATCATTTATTCTTACAGTGTCCCTTGGCCCTTTCACTATCAAACAAATTGTTTGATTTTGTTGGCCTTTCTTGGGTCACTTTGCGGTCAATGTCATCTAAGATTTATTGGATTATAGGGGATCGGGAGGAAGTAGAAGAGGGAAGAACTTTTGGCATTGTGCATTTTTTTGCTATCATTTGAATGCGAGGACTTTTAAATAAATGGGAGGAGGTTGATTGTTTATGGGACTGGATGCATTTCTTGCCTTCATTTTAGGCTTTTGTGACTAAAGAATTTGAGTACTCATCTTTTGAGTATTATTGCGAGCTCGACAGTTTCTAGTGGATTGTAATTTTGTTTTTCATGACTTTGTTTGGTACCCATTTTTGGATTGGACAACCTGTCCATCTTTGATTGGTTTTGTAACATTATTCCTTTTTCTTATTAGTAAAATTGCGGTTTGTTATCTCAAAAATGGGAGATTCTTAGTGAAATTGTCTCCAAATACTAAGAAAATTTTTTTAAGGAAAGGCAAATATTTGATGTTACTCGTGGCTAATTTGGTGATAGATGATTATATATCTAGAAAGGAGGAAGGTATTGTTTTAAGATCTATTTTGAAAATGCTTATGACGATGTGAATTGGAAACTTTTAGAATACGTAGTGGAAGTTAAAGGATTTTGGTGGTAGGTGGATTATGGGTTGCTTATAGTTAATGAATTTCTCTATTTTTGCCCAATGGGAAGCCTAGATGGAGGTTTGAGGCATCACGGAGGTTTAGACAAGGGGATCCTTTACTATCTTTTCTTTTTACTCTAGTGGTTGATGAGCTAAGTAGACTAGTGACGAGGGCTGAAATATTTAATCTTATGAAAGGTTGAAACTTTGTGATATACAATGGGTGAATGGCTTCTAAATTATTTAAAAACTGTCTTTTGGGTTGGAATCCATCGTCTTTGACTTCTTTGGATATAGCCATTTGAAAAAGCTGAGAAAAGGTTAGACAAGGGGTGGGTTAACCTTAGTGTAGTTTGTTTTGTCTAGCATATTCATTTACTTTTCTTTGTTAAACATAACAATCACGATTGAAAAGATGATCTGTGATTTTTTGTGGGAGAGAAGTGGTGAGGAAAAAGAGGGATAATTTGTTCAGTTGAGAGGTAGTCTCTCGACCTAAAGGTAATGGTGGTCTTGTGATGAATGTTGTGGGGAAGAAATGTGGCTCTAGTTAGGAATGTCTATAGAGTTTTTCTTTGAAACAATATTTGTAGTGTTGTTCAGTGACTAAGAGTAAATGTGGGTTAAGCCACTGGATGGGATGATAATGTGGTAAAAGGGAAGTTTTCGATGCCTAGGGGAATTGATTTTTCTACGATTACATTGGTTTTCCTAATATATAAAATTTGTTGTGGATCATGGGTAGAAAGTATGTTTTTGAGAGGATGAATGATTGGGGAGTCATCTTTTCCAAGTTGTTTTATCATCTCTATTATTTATCTTCTGCTAAGAGTGCTTCTATTGTTTAAATGATCCGATTTTCTCATTCACTTTCTTGGGATATTTGGTTTCATTGAAATTAAATAACAGCGATACTTTGGGTTTGGTGTCTCTTCTTTTGTGTCCTTGGTTCAACAAGTGTCTTCAACTATAAGTGCATTGTGTCATCAACTTATGATCTTTATTGTTCGTTATTACCCTCACCTTTGATGTTATGGAAGGTGAAAGTGCATATTAAGATGCAAGTTTGTGTATGGTCCATTGCTCATGATAAGTTCAATACCAATGGCATGCTTTAAAGGAGAATCCTCAAGTTTGCCTTTCTCCATTGGGTGTGTCATGTGTCGATGTGATAGTGAAAGTGTTGATCATTTGTTTTTGCATTGCCCTATTGCATTATATTTGTGAAACAAGTTGTTTAACTTTTTAGTATTGAACTATATGATTCCTTGCTCCTCTTCTTTTATGTTTGTTGAGGTTATTATGGGATTTGGAAGGCAGAGTAAAAGTGTTATTTTGGGGAATTTTAAAAGTTTTGCTATGGTGTTGGTCTTTGGTTGGAAAGAAATGCATTGATATTTGATCATAGAGGTGGGGTGGAGAAAGGATTTTGGGATCAAATTTATTTTTTAGCATCTTTTTTGACTTTGATCACTAAGGTCTTTGAGGGAATTCCTCTCTTGTATTTTTGCTTGGTGAAGAGCTTTATGCAGACTAGAGTTATGGACTTTTGTCTTAGAAATGTATCATGTACAACATTCTTTGTAGTTTGATGTTAGGTTGTACTACTTGTCCACTCTTTTATATTTTTGTTGTATGCTATTTTCATTGATAAAATTGGTCGCATTGCATCAAAAAATTTTAAAATAATAAAAGATATAGAAAAATGGTTGGGATGCCAAATTAGCACATGATATTAGAGATACCCTTAAAATTGCCTTTCACAGGTATATGATTCTTTTCTTCTTACGTTCATTTTAAGGTTGGAGATGATTCTAAAATCTATATTGGGAGGTTATTTAGCAAGGTTTTCATCATTTAGTACTTTTTTTTCTACGCCTATAGGCTCCTACTTCTAGCTTTCCGGTCAATGGGAAGGATTATTTCTTGAGATTTTTATTACTTTAAATGCCTAAATGATGGGGAACCAATGGCTTTTACTTCTTTGCTAGATAGTGTTCATAGCTTCATCCTCCTTCTCAGGATAGTAGGATTTGGACTGTGGACAAATTCAATACCTTTTTTTGTAAATCTTTATCAGCTCATAATTCCAAGAATCTTCAGTCCTTTTCTTTTGACATTTTCATTAGGAACGAAAAGTATAGACTTTTGCTTGCACTATTCTTAACAAAGTTAATACTAACAGTTTGCTAAAGGTTACGTTGTATGAGTAGTGGGGAGTCCAAGGCATAGTTACCAGAAATTGCCAAATGCCTAATGACCCATGATCTGCGTACAACAATCTCAAACGGAGTGAGTTTGCGATTAGATCACTTAAATCTCCTATCCCAAATTGTTATATTGACCCCAAATTGATTCGCTTCGGAACACGTATCATAAATATAAAATAAAAATTAATTAACTATGTGTGCATGGATATATAATTATATATAATTTTGGATAATAAGAAATTAGGCACAGTCCTAAAATAAATAGTACCTGATTGTGTTTATGGATGTATTATTATATATAATCTCGTATAGTAGTGGAAGAGATCTAGATAAGAGTTTCAAAACTAATTATGACCCAAAGCACCGTTTGAACACCTACCCATATCGTATTACATACTTAAGAAAGTGTCGTACTGTGTACCCGTACTCGTACAACGTACCAAATCGACCCACAATCTAGGTAACATTGGTCGAATGCTCATTTTTTCATTCAGTGTTCTTTTGCTTGGCCTTTGTGGAACTGTGCGTTGTTGGTGGTTGTTCGGTGTATCTGGTATTCAGGTTTGAGAGGAATTAAAGAATTTTTCGAGGTCATTTTGTTCCATTAAACTTAGTTTGGGATATAATTGTATTACTTGCTTCTTTATGAATTATATCACTGGGGAATTTCAGAGGTGTGCCTTTGTCGGATTTACAATGGGATTGGGAGGAAGGAAGTTCTTTTTAAACTGTCTTTTCTTGTTTTTGTATTTGACTTTGATTTGAGGATATGATGTTGCCCATATTATACCTCTTTTCACTCTTATCAACAATATATTCTTCTTTTATCAAAAAATACAAAACTCAAGCTACTTAGAAACAGTGCTTAGAACAAGCAAAAATTACTTAAAAAACTGTAATTAAACAGTACCTTAGTTGTTGAGCTGGTTTGTCTTTCATCAGTTGCATGGTGCATTTGCCTAGATGAATTCACTCTTGTAATCATGGACCGGAATAGGTGACGCTACAGTGTCTGATTGTCAGGGATCTTCCGCGTATTTGAGTAATGACCAAAGATTTCTTTAGCATATTAACTTGAAGTGTGTAAGAGGAAGATACATGGATCATATGGTGGCAACTGAAACAGTGAATTGTCTGGCCAATGGAGAAAAATTCTACTTCCCTTTCACTTGCTTAAGGGAACTGTTTTTTGTCATCGTATATATATGTACCATTTGTTTGTTTATTTTAATATGGTGACAAAGTTAATTACACAGGAACAGCTCAAGCCATTGATGGATCAACTCGGCAGAGTAAAAGACTTGGCTGTTCCTGAATTTGGAAGCCTTCAAGCATGGGAAGTTCGAGCAAATGCTGCCGCCCGTGCAGCAAATGGTGATTCTGGTTCCACTGATCCATCCAAATCTTCGCAGGGTCTTGGGTTTGGTGGAACACCAATGCCATTTGTTGGAGAGACAAAGGTGACATCACTCATCCTTAATTTTTATCGTGTTAGTTCAATCACCCTGTGCATTTATAACTCATTTGTTAATCAACAATCTCCGTTCCATTTAGCTATTCCTTTGTCCTCTTCATATGCCTCTGGAGTGCTTTGATGAATAACTAATTCATTGGAGTGCATTCAATTCAATCTTATCATGTTCAATCACCCTGTGCATTTATAACTCATTTGTTAATCAACAATCTCCGTTCCATTTAGCTATTCCTTTGTCCTCTTCATATGCCTCTGGGAGTGCTTTGATGAATAACTAATTCATTGGAGTGCATTCAATTCAATCTAATCATGTGTTTCTGCATGCCCATGCATCATCACAAGGTTTGGACTGATGTGTACATGTGGGCACGTATGTGCATGTGTACAAATGCATTTGATTAAGGATCAAAATTTTGTTTCAATGTATTGTTTCGGTTACCCAGGAAACAGAAACGTTTCAACATGTTTCGGAAACGTTTCAACTCGTTTCAGAAACATAATGAAAAAAATAAAGAATTTAAGAATTATTTTTCTAAAACATTGGTCAAAATATATTAAAGTATCTTGAAATATCTTGAAACATTCTGAAACAATTGTTCAAATGCAAAATGCATTGAAATATTACAAAATATCTCGAAATGTTAGAAATTCGATTCCATCAATAATTCGATTCGGTCTCCTTCGAAATGGAAACATTTCGGACGTTTTGACTGTTTCGAAATGAAATTTTGATCCTTGCATGTAATTAGATTTTTGAACTCGTTGTGTAAATGAACGTGTATGCAATTAATTCTAATTTGATTTCCAAAATATCCCTATTTGAAAGATGACCCCAAATAGCTCCAAACCACATTCCTTTTTTTTTTTTTTTTTGTCTAATCGATTTTTTGGGAACTTTGAATTTTTGGATCTGACCCTAAGGTTGATTGTATAGATTGAGAGATTTTTGTTGAGAGATTGGTTATGTAGGATTGAATATTTAGTTTTATGGTTTATTTTTAGGATATTTTTGCTAATAAGTTGAGCTCCATTTTGGCTTGAGTTTCGCTCGGTTGATTGTAAACTTATGCTGAGCAGAGCTTGAGCGAGATACTAAGCTCGACAGTCGGACTTGGTCTATCACAACAAAATCAAATCTAAGCATACTCCAGCTTAACTAACACCCATAGGTGGGGGTGCCACTTGTAGATTTATGTGGGTAGTGTAGGAGCGTAAGGAAGCAAAAATAGATTGAAGATGCATATTAGTTAGAAACTGTACAAATAAGTTCAGGCACAAAACACGAGTCGTTCATCTAAGGAAATACAGTGTGCTTCGTAAACATGCATCGATCGTTGTATCAGCATTTCTACAGCCCCGGCCCTGAAGTGAAAATAAGGCACAGCAGAGCAATCTGCCGCATTTACTGGCACTTATGCATGCACCCTTCTCTACACCTGGCATATCATATAGTGACCTAGCATGCATCCCTTGTAGTTGTGTTTCACATCAGTTTTAAGAATATTGAATAATTTCAAATTTTTTACATTTTGGCAGTTATTTCAAAATTTAATCTTAATGACGCATGAAGATGGTGACTCAGTTGATCATGTCAGCAATCATTTATCTTTTGTGATTGTGGAACTTACTCATGATCATTTTTCACTTCGCATGAAGATGGTGACTCAGTTGATCATGTCAGCAATCATTTATCTTTTGTGATTGTGGAACTTACTCATGATCATTTTTCACTTCGCAGCCAACCTTAAATCATGGTTACCACAATTCACTAAACTCTTGACAATCCATGAGTACATCAATCCAGATCACCAAAATGGACGACCCCAAATTGTAATACTAACCTTAAATTATTTCGCTTTAGAGCATGTAAAATAAATATAAAATTCATATTAAATAATTACATGTATATAGATTTATAATTTTATATTATTTTAGATAATAAAAAATCAAGCACAATTATAAGATAAATGGTAACTGATTTAGTGTTTATGGATGTTTTATAATATATAATGGTGTATAGTAGTGAAAACAATCTACATAAGACTTTCAAAACAAATTGCGATCCAAAATACTGTACCAACTAAGCCTACCCCATCGTATTATATACCTAACAAAGTGTCGTACTGTGTATCCGTACTTGTACCCTGTATCAAAGGGACCTACAATCCAAGGTAACATTGCCTTGATCTTGCAACCGAAACTCCATCCGCCCCAAGGTTTGGGCCAGTGAGTGGGTCAAATGATATAAAATTGAGCATCTGGTTAGTCAACTTTAGAGAGTTGTTCCGTTGGCTGTTCCTGCACAATTAGATCCCGGTATTTTGATAACCATGTTTACTCATGATTATTTTTCACTTTGCATCCCACCTTAAATCTTGCAATCGAAACTCTGTTCGGCTCCATGTTTTGGGCCAGCGAGTGGGTCAAATGATATAAAATCAAGTATTTGGGTTTGTCAACTATAGAGAGTTGTTCTATTGTTTGTTTTTTCTGCACGACTAGATCTGCCCTCTATGTGGCATTATAAATGTAAAATCTAAACCCCAAAAAGTCATGGCTTGGCTTGATCTTTAAAAGTCGGTGTTATGCTAAAAAGGAAGAGCCTTTTTTTTGGAGCGGCCCTGGTCAGAGTGAGACTTTGGTTGCTTTCATGATAAGGGAAAAGGGAGTGATGAGGAGGGTCCCTTTACAATTGTTTCGGAAACAAATGGATTGAAATAAGCAAGCAAAAAAGTGAAGAACATGTGTTTTTTTCTATTTAATAACACCCCAAAATCCACATTCCTCGATAAATTTTGTGATAAATGGGCTTGACGGCTTAGTGTATAATCCACATTGGATTTTTGTAAACCTTCATTAAATGAAAGATCCTCAAGCAAACAAAGAAATGAGGCCAGTATTGCCTCATCTAGAATCCTCCCCCAGCAGCCATAGACAATCAGTAGTGGGAAATGTTTTGGGGATTGAAGCTGGAATAGGCCTAAGCAATATTTGCGAGCTGTTGAAAGAGATGTCAGACAAGGTGGAGTTTCAGGGTGACGGAATCCGTTGTTAAAGATCTTCCTTTTCAGTTATCTGACACTTAGGGAAAGCAGATGTTCATTTGGGTTCAATAAAAATAACTCCCAGTTTGGTCCTTTTGAGACTTGAATTGGTAGTTACTTTATTTTAATTTTCGTTTGGTTTGCCTATATATAGGATCAGCGAAATGGGATTTTAGTTTTGGCATTAATAGGGATTTTTTATTTCTCTTTTTTCATCTTGCTCCTGGTCCTTTCTCTTCTCTCTCCTCTCTTTATTTTCTATATTTCTACTTTACTGTTCCTGTGTCAGATTCTCAAAATAGATATTGTGTTAGATAGCCGAGGCGAATATTGTTTAGTTAAAGACACTATTCAAAACTTTTACCATCAATTTTATTGCACACAACTTATATTACTTCTGGGCAGGTTGAAGTTGCATTCTCAGGTATTGAAGAGAAAGGAGAGGCCATTAAACTCGAGAGTGGAAATTCACCTATGAAAATTTTGCCTCCATGGTTGATCAAGCAAGGGATGAACCTCACAAAAGAGCAGCGAGGGGAGGTCAAACAAGAGGCAAAGATGGAGGGCACTTCATCCACTGTAGATGTTTCTGACGAGAAGAAGTTAACAGGAGAAAAAGATGATGTGAAGAATTTACAGGCTCGTCTCAACTGAAAAACATTTTTTGTTTGGTTGATTATCTCGATCTATGTCATTTTTGTGGTTGTACTTCCATTCCTGATTTTCTTGGTCTCACATGTATCGGCTTCCTGATATTTGTTTAGGATGAATATGTTAAAGCATATTACGCTGCTCTACTTGTGAAGCAACGAGACCAAGAAGAAGCTGCCAAGAGGGAACAGGAGTTGTCAAACAGAAACATATCGGATAGTGTTTATGACACATCTTCAGAACGTCAAGTTGGCATGAAGTCCAAACGTGAGGATGTGGATGAAGGGGTTGATGATGTTGAATGGGAAGAAGCTACTCCTGCAGGTAGACATCTGTTCCTCTCTTTCTAATTTTTTTTTTTTTGGTTTCAGTTTGGTGGGGTGCAACTTGGGTTGGGTAATCCGATTTCAACCCGACCCTAGCTTGAAAAAATTAGAACTTGGACAAGGGTTTTTAATACTTGGGTTGGGCTTGAGTCAAAAAATCTCAACCCGAATTCAATTTGGGTTGGGCTCGGGTTAAGGCCTCGTGAACCTGAGTTTAACCCGAATCCAACAAATTAATAAAAAAATTATATATATATATATATATATATATAGCATTAGCACTGATTTTTTATTTTTGTTCTATCGTTCTCTGTCTCTCTCGTTCTCTTTACCTCTCTCGTTCTCTTAGCCTCTCTCGTTAAAAACTTGGTTGAAGTTATTGGTTGTTAATTTAGGTGAATATTATGTAATATATGTATTAGGTTTAGAACAACAAGTTTATTTTGGGCTCTACCTGAATTGAATCCGTAAAGTAACCCGAAATCAGCCCAAAATCATCAACCCGAATTTAAATCGAGCAGTGCTCAAGTTGAGTTTCCCAACTCGAGGTTGGGTTAGGGTTGATTGGCCAACCCGCCCGAGTTGCACCCCTAGTTTCAGTTGGTTTATTTGTTTTTTCTTACATTCTTTTGAGGGAGGGAGTTGCATGAGCTTTCATAAGACTATATGATTAACAAGGTGTCAACCTGCATGAGGTTAATGAATATGCTTGGGTAAATTTCACTAACATCCCCCTATAAAATAGCCTAATTGCAGGGACAGCCCCCTATGGTTTTTAAAATATCATTGCCACCCCTTGTCAGATTTTGTCTTTAATGGAATAGACGGAAATTTTACTTTTACATAATTACCCTTAACAGGAAATTTTTTTTACTCATTTCCTCTTAACAGAACATTCCATTTCATTAATTTAAAATTTAATTTTATTAAATTCTTTTTCAATTTCATTAGTTTCATCAAATTTATCAATTTCAATTTCATTAGTTTCATCAAATTTATCAATTTCAATTTCATTAGTTAATTTTATCAATTGACATTTACTTTCGTTAATTTAGATATTAATTCCATCATACTACTGCTAATTTCATCAATTTAATACTAAATTAATATCTAATTTTATCAAATTCATATTAAATTTCTTCAAATTAATATTTTAAAATTTAATTTCATCATCAAATTAAAATTCAATTTATTTAATTTTGAATTAAGTTTTATCAACTTGACATTTAATTTCATTAATTCAAATATTAGTTTCATCACATTAACATTAATTTCATCGAATTAACATTTTAAAATTTAATTTTTTCAAATTAAAGTTAAATTAACATTAAATTTATTTAATTTAGAATTTAGTTTCATCAAATTGAACTTTAATTTTATCAAATTAAAATTTAATTTAATCCAATAACACATTTTTATCAATTTAATACCAATTAACATTCAATTTCATGACACACCTATTTTGTTAGATGTCAACAATTAATTTCATGTGTATTAATGAAATAGAATATAATATTTGTATTAATTTGGTGAAATTAAAGGTTGATTTGATGAAAATTGAATATTTATTTGTTGAAATTTGAGATCAATTTTTGTTAGTTTGATAAAATTGAATATAATTTTTTATTAATTGGATAAAATTGAATGACGATTGGGTGGATGTAATGTTAATTTTATGAAATTGTATGTTAATTTGACAAAATTTAATGTTAATTTTAGAAATTTGATGATCACTATTGTAATTAATTTGATTAAATTGATTATTAATTTGATATTGATTTGATTAAATTGAAAAAATGTAATATTGATGTAATTGAAACAAACATATAAATAGACAACTGTAATATTGATTTAATTGGGGAAAAGAGAGAGGGGGAGGGGGGTAGAAAGAAAGATGTGAAGGATATAAGACTTGTTTGGGTCTAAGATTAATATTATTCAAAAAAAGAATAAGTAGTGTTTGGGTATTGGAATAATATTTTAAAAGTTTACATTTAAAGGGCAAAATTATCATTTAAGAGAAGATTTGCTAACATCATCACTTTGTGGCCTTGTTGGTAACATCCTTGACGATAGGGGTAGTAATTGAAACAAACATATGAATTATAGAGGGTGGCAGTGATATTTTAGAAATTATAAGGGGTGTTTCTATAATTAGGTTATTTTCCAGGGGGTGTGATGGCGCAGCCATTGGTTGTTGGACTAATACAATCGACTTTGAAAGCATAAGCGAAATACCAGGAATTTTTGGTCTAAAGGGAAGTGTAATTGATAGTTTTATTATTATTATTATTTGATTTATGAGTATTTGTTTGACTATGTGATGGGGATCATGTAGGTGATTGATAGTTTTATTATTATTATTATTTGATTTATGAGTATTTGTTTGACTAAGTGATGGAATAGATATTTTAGATTAATCACGAGAGTGATTTAGTATTTTATTTTTTAAGTATTTTCTTTTAACTTTGAAAGGTTTAGTTATTATTTTGATTATTTATTTATTTTAGGGTTTGTGATCTCCTTATATATATAGGATTAGTGAACTCTTTATAAATATAAGAGATACATATTTGTTGTAAGACTACACTTTTGATTATTATTGATTATTGATATTGAATCCTTCTTCTTCAAATTCTCTCTCTGTTCTCATCCTTGTTCTTCTTTTCTCATCCCCTTCTTCTTCCCTTCTTATTCCTAATTCTTCTTTAATACGATCTACATCAATTTGGTATTAGAGCTAATACGATCTACATCAATTAGGTATCAGAGCCCAACTTCGATTCGTACAAATAAAAAAAAAAAAAAACCTTTTGCCCGGTCATTATTGTTCATCGTTCTCGTTCCAAAAAAAAAAATAGAATTGTTCAGCAAGTTCAAAAAATTGCAGCAATATCTGGGTTGTTTCAAAAATTTTAAAAACACTCCAAAAAATTTTAGAAGTTGCAGAACCACCTCCAGAAGTTTTAGAAATTGCAGAATTTTCCCCCTAGAAGTTCTAGAATTACAGAATCATCCCTAAAAAAATTTCAAAATTTTCTCTTGATTATGGTATGCATACTCCCATAGAATTTGAGACTCATTTTTATGAAAAAATTTCAACCACACTCTCTCTAGTTTACCATATCTTCAAGGACACCCCTCTAGTTTCTGAATCTTCAGTGACACCCCTGTCAGATTAAAAATATTAAGTAGAATGCAATTTTATTAAATTGTCCATGATATATTTGAGGACAAACTTCATCCACACCACCTCTAGATAACCACATGTTTAATGAAACTCCCTCTAGATAAGTATATTTTCAATAAGATCCCCTCTATTTTCTAATTTTTTTTACGTAATTAAATTCAAACCGATTAAAAGTCGATTCAAACTAATTAAAATTTATTTTTTTACATATTAAAATTTGTATCAATTAAAAATTATATTTTTTTACGTATTAAAATTTGAGCTAATTAAAATTTTGTTTGAGTCAATTAAAAATTATTTTTAATCAACTTAAATCAAATTTTAATTAATTCGCATTGAATTTTAATCATCCCAAATTTTAATATATAAAAATATATGAATTTTAATTGACTTAAATTTTAATTGACACGAATTTTAATAAGTAAAAAAATATAAATTTTTAATCGACTCAAAAGAGAATTTTAATAGGTGCTAATAACTCGGGTAGAGTTTAAATTGGCTCAAATTTTAAAATGTAAAAAATAAATTTTAATAGGCTCAATTTTTTTTTTAAATTTATGAATTAGTAAATAATAAATTAGTATTTACTAAAATTGTTATTTACGAATTTGTTTTAAAATTTTAACGGTTCGAATTTTAATAAAATTTTATGTAGAAAAATTACTTGAGGTTATGTAGGGGCATTTTTGGTATTTTAGATGAATTTTTTTTTGTTAGAAATAGTAGTTTAATGGTAGGGGGTATTAGTGATGTTTAAATTAAACTTGAAGGGGTGTTATTAAAGATTTAGAAACTAGAGGGGGTGTCCTTGAAGGTATAGTAAACTATAGGGGGTGTGGTTAAAATTTTTTCTACTTTTATTCATTGAAAAATTAGAGAATTTAAGGGTCCAAAACATATTTCTTCTATTTAAGTTTTCTCACTTCTTGTAATTATTAATTGCATTCTTGAACTCATTCTTATGTTATTCTCATCTTTTAAAATCAATCATGAGTTCATATGATCATTATGATGCCTATTCATATATTTATCCAACATCAAGAATGTCTCAAGTTCACAGTTCTTCACAATATCATCACTATACCTATTCCACTCCTAGAGTTTCTCGAAGTCATCATAAAGTTCATAGTAAGTATAAGTTTTATTATGAAGATTATTTAGAATACTATTTTGGGACACTTAGGTCACATAACAGTTACTAACGTCATGCTTCCCAATGTCATCATCAAGGTCAATCTGGATCAATCTTCAACGTCATTAGTGACCATTCAAAAGCCCAAACTGCCTTAGAAAAAAAGATTGAGATCTTTGAAATTGGAGTTGCCAATGCTATACATTCACTCAGCCAATTACGTGAAGAATATACAAGGATGAAAAATCAATTGTCTGAATTAATAAGTCAACTTTTCCACTTGAATAAAATTTTTGCAAGTCAGCAAATGGAAGAAAATAAGGACAAGTCTCCAGTTTCACCTAATATCGGACACTCGCATAATGATAGCCATATTTCTGTTCCGTTGGACCCTCGTGCTTTCCATCTTTCCAAACATATTTTTAATTGTTTGAACATTGATACTAGTGCTGAGATTGTTTTTGATCCTATCATGTTTCCTACTTCATCGGAGCCAAAAGTTGAATCATCACTAATCATTGAACTTGAGGAAAAATTCATTCAGTTGGTTTCTATGCAAGATGTTGAATATATTGAGGTATCTATTTTAGAATCTGTTGACAATTATTCTATGTCTACTATTCTGAATCATGATGACATTATTGTAGATTCTTCTCCACTTGAGATTATTGACATT